GAAGAAGAGAAGAGAAGAGAAGAGAAGAGAAGAGAAGAGAAGAGAAGAGAAGAGAAGAGAAGAGAAGAGAAGAGAAGAGAAGAGAAGAGAAGAGAAAAGAAAAGAAAAGAAAAAGAAAACTGGAACATACTGGTGAGCTGATAGGTAAACAGGCAGGCATAGTATCCCAAAGACCTACTATGACAAAAAGAAAACAAAAAGGAAGTCAACTGTACCTTACAAGAAAGTACATGAAAAATAAAACATACATTCTGTTATGGTACACATCTAGATGCTCTCTTCCCCCACCCCCAAAGCCTCATGCAGTCATGAGTGTGGGCAACTAGACTTTGTGACTGATTGGTGATCCAATGCTAGGATTAAGGCTTTGAGCACTACACCTTCCACAAGGCGGGTAGCCTGCATATAATGTAAGGAGCTGAAAGAGATTTATCTCTCTCTCCTTTCTTGTTGTTTTTGCTATTTTCTGCTGCCATGAAGGGTTGCCCCTTTACCATGTGCCACTCTGCCTGGGAGCAAGATTATTATGGATTGAAACCTCTACAAACTGTGAACTAAATAAACCTTTCCCTCCTTAACTTTGAGTGACATGCATTTTGTCTCAGCAACAAGAAAAGAAACTAAGACATATGCCATTAACATAAGTGATGCTTGCCAGTGGAACATTCCATTGTCATGTGTGAAAACTGCCTTGGGTGTGACAGTTGAAGCAAAACTAATTTTTGTGGTAGACTTTTGGTTATGTTTACACAGGTTTTTATTTTTGATGTTATCTTTTAGCTTTATAAGTAAGTACACAGCTGATGTGAAAATCTTGGTGTCTATTTTAAGCACTCATTACATATTTGGTGTATTTTATTGACATCTTATTTCCCTGCTAAGTGCATGTTGTACAATATAGCAGGATGTTCCTGATAATACAAAAAGAGAGGTGACAAGAGTGCCACATAGGAAAGGAAAGCTAAGCACATGACCTATCATTGTGAGACATGTGCATGGAACATACAATTGTCAGGTGCGAACACTGCCTAAAATTCAACAAAGTTTATTTTGTGCTAGAGTTAAATTGATATTTCTTTTTGTTCACATAGAAATTTATTTATATTATCTTTTAGGCTTGTAAGGAGCACACAGCTGATGTGAAAATGTAGATGTCTGTTATAAATGCACAATACATATTAAGAATTTAATAATTTATTTTATTGTTTAATTTTCTGTTAACTACCCACTGTAAAATATAATAAGCACTTCCTGAACAAAACAGCAAGACCACTGAGATATCTAATATGCCCTACAGAAAGGTCAGGAAAGCAAAAGACATGTGCTGATGCATGTTTGGAACATGCTGTTGTCATGTGTGCAGATTGCCTCAGGTATGATAAGTGAAATGAAAACTTTTTTGTACAGTGCTATTGCTATTGTAGGTCATGGGGGAATTTATTTTTGATGTTCCTTTTAAGACTGCAATAAAAACTAGTCAATGTTGAAAATGTAGATTTTTAAAATAAACAATAAGTATTAAAATATAATACTTTATTCTTGCAATTTTTTCTTGTTATTGGGATTAATATAATAAAACTCATAAAATTGAAATTATTAATTTATCAATAGAAATGTTCTAAAGAATAAATGTGGATCTGGCAGATAAAATTCTGCCTTGATGCCAAATGTCTTATGCTCTATGGGCTACTTAGGTAGGATTGGATGGGTATAACTATTTGCCACTTTCCTAGGAACTTTTCTTCCTCATCTCCCAAAGATCCCATGGTGAACCACTATTATTTCCTTGTAAACACTCTAATTTGCCCTCTGTGTGATAGTCATCCTTAAACTCAACTATTCTCTTTCCTGTCTACATTCTTTGGGCTGAAATGTACTGGAGAAGATCCTGCCATTGTGCTGTCTGAGTTTAAGGATACAAATTGTAAATGGGCACTCAACCCTGCCGGTGATACCACAATCCTTCTACAATTTACTGTGTCACCCTCATGTCTCTGACCCTCTCACTGTTCCAATCTCTAACATCCTCTTCTTGCCTCCTCAGATGGAGGCCTAACCTCAGATTGTATTAAAGTTGATGTGATCATGTAGGACCTACCTCCTCCTTCCACACACACTATTTCATCTGAATTTATCTTCTATCTTTCCTCTCATTAAAAGGATAGGATTTTTTTTTTCAAGGTCATCTCCCCTTCTTGTGTTTTGAGTGTGTTCTTTTATCCTCCTAACTTTACTCATTCAAAATAGTCATAAATGGGATAATACTCCCTTGCTTGAAAACTGCTTCCCTTTATAATGAAAGCCAACTCACCCTGGCTCTCAAAGCCTGCATGATGGCTTCCTCCTACGTCTTTACCCCTCAGACCATTTTTCTTCTCACTCATTGTCCTTCCCCATGCTTGCTTTTGACTCCTCAACCATACCAGGCTCATTTGTCTGTACTTGCTTTGCCCTCTTCCTGATTGGTCTCTTTTTCCTGTTAGCTCCTTCTTATCCAGATCTCTTCCCTTGAGAGGCTTTCCTTGACTGGCTCATCAAAGAATTCCTACTCTGGAAGGCATCCTCCGATTTTAATTTCATCTCCTTTGAAGTGCTAATCAGTATCTGGAAGTATGTGGCTTATTTTTTTTCCTTCCTTTGTCATTGCCTAACTAGATTTTTATTATTTATTTTTGAGACAGGGTCTTGCTAGGTAATTCAGGCTGACCTTGAGCATGCTATATAGTCTAGGCTGCCCTCAAATTCGCCGCAATCCTTCTGCCTCTGCCTCGCCGGTGCTGGAATTATAGGCACGCACTACCATGCCTAACTTACTGGAATTTTATTCTGTGACAGATGTTTGTTTCCAGCTCTACACTCAGGCTCTAGAACCCTGCCTATCTCATAGCTAAATGCCAAGTACAGATACATTACCTTATTTAATTATAAAATGTATTTAGTACACGGTTTACTGGGTCTCACTACACAGATTGGGCTCATAGTGATCCTCCAGTTTTCAGCCTGCCAAGAGCTGGGATTACAAAGGCGTGCCACCATGCCCAGTCTGATACATTATTGGCTGCCTGAAAGCCACTCTGCTCGTTTGTATTGTAACAAAGCCACAAAGGGGCTATTTTTTGTTTGATTGTAGTAAGAGGAGAGAGAGAGAGAGAGAGAGAGAGAGAGAGAGAGA